TTCCAGTTTTTTTGGTTCTTCAATTGGTGATTTTTGATTTTCTAGTTTTCATTTCAAGTATGTAATAATAATTACAATTGATTTATTATCAATTTCTCAAGTTTGAGATTCTCGATTTTCCATTTTTCAGCTTTTGAATTTTTCGAATTTACGTTTCTTTAATTTTTCGTCGTTTGAATTTTTTAGTTCACTTTCTCAATTTTTAATCTTTTCAGTTATTCAGTTTTTCGTCTTTGGAATTCCCAAATTTTTCGATTGTTCATTTCTTCTTCTTTTCGCTTTTTTACTTCTTTAATTTTGACGATTTTACAATCTTTCGATTATTCACTTTTTCGTTTCTTGCGTTTTCCGAAGTTTTATTTCGCCTTTTTTCGATTTTTCAATTTGTCAGATTCTCAATTTTTAATTTTCCAATGTTCCTTTCTCAATTTTTCATAATCTTGATTTTTAAACTTTTGAATTTTCAATTTTTCATTGCATATTTTCTGTGCTTCATTGCTTCAGTTTTTCGTCTTTTGAAAATTTCTGTAGTTCATTTTTTCTTTTTCCGATTTTTCACTCAATTCTTCAATTTTGTCAATTTTACGATCTTTCGATTATTCAGTTTTTTCGTCTTCTATCTTTTCTAGTGTTTCATTTCATTTTTTTTCGGTTTTTCAATTTTTCAGGACCTCATTTTTAAATTTTGAATTGTTCAATTTTTCATTTCTTCTTTTTTCCGATGTTTTATTCCATCAATTTTTCGTCTTTTTTTCTCGATTTTTCAGATTCTTTATTTTCAATTTTTGAATTTGTCAATTTTTCATTTCTCTTTGTCGTCTTTTCGATCGTCAGAGTGTGTTTCATTTCTTCTTTTTTCGATTTTTCGTCTTTTGAATTTTCCGAATGTACGCTTCTTCAATTTTTCGTTCCTTCTTATTTCGATTTTTCATTTCTCCTTCTTTGGATTGTTTCTTCAACTTTTCATTTCTCCTTTTTTCTATTTATTATCACTTCAGTTTTTGATCTTTTGAATTTTTTTTTCGATATTTCAATTTTTAAGATTCTCGATTTTTCAATTTTTCGATTTGCGATTTTCCAATTTTTGGATTTTCATTTCACAATTTTTTTATTTTTCTGTTTTTTGATTTCTAAATTGGAAAAATTGGAGAAACAAAAGTTCAAAAATCAAAAAATTGAAAAAATGGAAACTTGAAAAATTGAAAAACAAAAAACAGTTGGAAACTCGATTAATCAAGAAAGCGAAAAATAGAAAATTTAGAAAATCGAAAAATCGTCAAGACAAAATATCGAAAACTGAAATTCATAAACCTGAAAAATCGAAAAATTATTAAAGGTTTGAAAAACTGAAAAATCAAGAAATCGAAAAATCGAAAAATGGATACATGGCTAAAATTGAAAAATCGATAAATCAACGCATCAAAAAATCGAAAATCTCAAAAATTCAAAAAACGAAAAATCTACAAATTCAGAAGATGAAAATTTTGATTTTTCTGATGTTTCGTCCTTTGAATTTTTGAGATTGTCAGTTTTTAATCATTCATTTTTCAATTTTTGGAATTTCATTTTATCGAATTTTTGATTTTTCGGTTTTTCAAAATTTGAAAAATTGGAGCAACAAAAATTCAAAAATCAAAAACTGGAAAAATTTAAAACTTTAATAATGCCATAAATTAAAAAATAGAAAAATTGAAGAATTAAAAAATAGAGAAATCTAAAAATTGTCAAGTCGAAAAATCGAAATACCGGCATTTAAAATAGTGAAAAATCAAAAACCTGAAAAATCGAAAAATTGAAGAATTGAAAAACAGAAAAATGGGAAAAATCGATGAATCAAGAAATCGAAAAATAGAAAATTTAGAAGCGCCAAACATTGAAAAATAGAGAAATCAGAGAATTGAAAAAACGAGAAATCGAAAAATCGAAAAGATGAAAATTAAACAAAAAAACTGAAAAATCCAAAAATTGAAAAATTGAAGGATTGAAAAACTGAAAAATCGAGAAATCGAAAAGTCGAAAAATGGATGCATGGGTAAAATTGAATAATCGATAAATTAAAACATCAAAAAATCGAAAATCTGAAAAATTTAAAATAGTCAAAATATGAAATTTTTCGATGTTTCATCTTTTGAATTTTCAGATTTTCAATTCTTAATTTCTTTCAATCTTTCAGTTTTACGTTTGCGATTTTTCAATTTTTTGATTTCAAAATTTGAAAAATTGGAAAGACAAAAATTCAGAAATCGAAAAACTGAAAAAATTAAATCGAAGAATTAAAAAATTGAGGAATCCAAACATTGTCAAGTCGAAAAATCGAAAAACCGAAATTTAAAAAATTGAAAAATAAAAAACCTGAAAAATCGAAAAATTGAAGATGTAAAAAACAGAAAAATGGAAAATTCAGAAGCTCCAAAAATTGAAAAATTGAAAAATCGGAGAACTGAAAAATCGAGAAATGGAAAAATCGAAAAATCGATACATGGGTAAAATTGAAAAATCGATAAATCAAAACATCAAAAACTCGAAAATCTGAAGAATTCAAAAGACGAAAAATCGAAAAAGTCAAAAGATGAGAATTTTTCGATGTTCCGTTCTTTGGATTTTTCACATTTTCAATTTTTAATTTCTCTCAATTTTTCAGTTTTACGATTCGCGATTTTTCAATTTTTGGATATTCAGGTCATCGAATTTTCTATTTTTTAATTTTTCAGTTTTTCGATTTCAATTTTTGAAAAATTGGAGAGACAAAAATTCAAAAATCGAAAAATTGAAAAAATGAAAACTTAAATGCCATAAACTAAAAAACAGAAAAATCGAAGAAACGAAGTATCGAGGAATCGAAAAATTGACAAGTCGAAAAATTGAAGATGTAAAAAACAGAAAAATTGAAAATTTAGAAGCGCCAAAAATTGAAAAATTGAAAAATCGGAGAATTGAAAAATCGAGAAATGGAAAAATCAAAAAATGGATACATGGGTAAAATAAATCAAAACATCAAAAAATGGAAAATCGAAAAAGTCAAAAGATGAGAACTTCTGGATGTTTCGTCCTTTGAATTTTTCAGATTTTCAACTTTTAATTTCTCTCAATTTTTCAGTTTTTCGACTTGCGATTTTTCAATTGTTGGATTTTCAGTTCAACGAATTTTCTATTTGCTGATTTTTCAGTTTTTCGATTGCAAAATTTGTAAAATTGGAGAAACAAAAATTCAAAAATCGAAAAATTGAAAAATGTAAAACTTAAAAGCCATAAATTAAAATATAGAAGATTCGAAGAATTGAAAATTGGCAAGTCGAAAAGTCGAAAAACCGAAATTTAAAAAATTGAAAAATAAAAAACCTAAAAAATCGAAAAATTGGACATGTAAAAAACAGAAAAACAGAAAATTTAGAAGCACCAAAAATTTAAAAATTGAAAAATCGGGGAATTGTAAAATCGAGAAATGGAAAAATCGAAAAATGAATACATGGGTAAAATTGAAATATCGATAAATCAAAACATCAAAAAATGGGAAATTTGAAAAATTCAAAAGACGAAAAATCGAAAGAGTCAGAAGATGAGAATTTTTCGATCTTTCGTCCTGTGAATTTTTCAGATTTTCAATTTTTAATTTCTCTCAATTTTTCAGTTTTTCGATTCGCGATTTTTCAATTTTTGGATTTTCAGTTCATCGAATTTTCTATTTTTTGATTTTTCAGTTTTTCGATTTCAAAATTTGTAAAATTGGAGAAACAAAAACTCACAAATCGAAAAATTGAAAAATGTAAAACTTAAATGCCATAAATTAAAAAACAGAAAAATCGAAGAATTGAAAAATCGTGGAATTCAAACATGTCAAGTCGAAAATCAAAACACCGAAATTTAAAAAACTGAAAATTCAAAAAGCTGAAAGATGGAATAATGGAACAATTACAAAATTGAAAATGATAGAAAACGAGAAGTTAAAAAATCGAGCAATGAGAAAATCAAAAAATCAGAAAAAAAAACTGAAAAATAAAAATCGAACTTCTTACTGAAAAAATTAAAATTGAACAATTCCTGCGTTAAAAATCCAAAAAAATTAAGTTAAGAAACTGAAAAATCGAAAATTGAAAAATTGTAATATCCAAAATTGCAAAATTGAAAAATTGCAAACCGAAAAATTGAAAAATTTGGAAGCCGAGAAATTGAAAAATTAAAAAAATTTAAGTTGAAAGAAGAAAAAAGAAAAACGAAAAATTGTGTATCAAAAAATTGATCGTTCTTGATTTAATCAATACAATAAATTGCCTCATTCATAAATTTTTTGAGTCATCTTGTAAAAGTAATTCCATAAACTACGAGCCCAAGGATACAGTCATATTTCAGAGAGCATTTATTAGGCAAAATTTTGACTTGACATCATCAATTTTTTGGTAGGGGATAAACGATAAAATTTTGATTAACGTTTTATCACGATTATAATAACCTTAAAATGTTTGCAAGATTTCAGAGCATTCGCTCTGTCTTCCGCTCAAGCCGCAATAAACTCGCCTGTCGAGCGGACATAAATCCGGTAGGTGCGAGGTGCCTTTATGGGATGATCGGCCTGAGTTATGGTTATGGACTCCAGATATCGGGAGTACGCAATGCGATTTTATTGGAAGTGTTTCGGAATCTGGAGTAAGAGTGCGAATGGGACGCACCAGGCCACAATCGCCGATCTATATTTCATATTTATGCCTTCTTACTGATTCACTGCTGTCATATTTGAAACCGCTATTTCTTATTTCGTCTGTTTAGGGGCAAATGCGCCTTCCAAGCTCGTAAAAATAATTTGACTTGCAAAAATTTTTCACTATTTACGAGTGGATTTGGATATTTATCAAGAAGAATTTTTTCGGCTATGTGCCGTAAATTTATTTCGGAATAAGCCGCCTTATTTATTCAAATACCTCCGACCGATAAATGCTAAACCGACCTGGTCCCATAACCTGGTGCAGCGATTATTACTATTGTTACTTATAGTTTGTTCTTTGCAGTGGAACTCGAGGTGCTCAACGGCGAACCCCGCAGCGACCCCCTGCCCGCCTCCATGAGTCCCGACCCGAACCACAACGAGACCTCGGAGCCGCCCTCCGAGCTACACAAGCGCCTCAACGGCGTCCACAAGGAAGCCGCCGTCCCCGAAGAGGTCCTCAACGGCCTCAGCATGCACAGTCCGCCCAAACTGCTCAAGACCGGGGGCTCGGCCGAGGACGGCCCCAACGACCTCATCTCGGTGAAGGCCGCCGTCGGCGAGCAGTCCGAGGACGAGGAGAAGATCAAGGAGTACCTCCAGAGGAGCGACACGGCCGTGATTTACCCCGAACCTGTTGGTCATCCGGAGAACGGTGAGTGCTATGTTAATGTTTGAAGAGCTCTTGGGTAATTGCGCCAGTGCTGGATAATTGATGACGGATAAAGTGGGAGCTATCGGAGCTAACGAGCGCTCTTGCTGCTGGACCCAATTAAATTTATGAACGCTTGTACCTATCTTCGCATGGAAAGTGATTAGTGGACGATGGGCGCTTATTAACGCCGGTTCGAGAAATCATTAGCGGCGGTGTCACTCTCCACGGCTCCTCGGGGACGGAATTAGCTTTTTAATTGCGCGTTGCGGAGTTATTAGGATGATGGAGGGGTGGCTGGTCAAGGGTAATTATGGCGGCTCGTCTTACCGATTATTTTTTGCTTCGGGGGCTTAAAATAAGAAGGTATTGTAATCGAGTTGAAAATTGGTTTCCCGTTTCCGTCTGTCTGTCTGTCGGCCGTCTGTTCGGATTTTTATTACACAGAAACTAATTTATAAAATTAAATGCCCCTGCATTTGTGGTTTATGAATCCGTGTTGAGTTTTACACTAGACATCCAAATTTTTGGAAAAAAAACTACAAAGCCGAATACTCTGAAATCTTGCAAACGTTTTAACATTGTTGGAGGCTTGGTAATTCGTTAATCAAAATTTGTCCCTTATGCGATTTTTCAATTTTTTAAATTTTCGATTTCCAAATTTTTCGATGTTTCAGTTTTGGGACTTTTCAACTTTTCTTCGATTTTTCAGTTTTTCGATCTATCAATTTTTCGATATTTCAGTCTTGGGAATTTCCGATTTTCCGTTTCTTCAATTTTTAAATTTTTTGATTTTCTGATTTCTCGATTTCTTAATTTTTTGATGTTTCGTTTCAATTTTTCGATTTCGCGATTTTCCGATTTGTCAGTTTTTCAATTCTTCAATTATTGGGCTTTTCTACTTTTCGATTTCTCGATTTTTTCAATTTTTCGATATTTCGGTTTGGGGATTTCTTCAATTTATTCGATTTCTTGATTATTCGATTTTTCCGACTTTTAGATTTTTCTATTTTTTATTTTTTCCATTTCTCGATTTTTCAATGTTTTGATTTTCCCATTTCTTCATTTTTCGACTTCTCGATTTCTCTGTTCTTGAGATTTTGCAATTGTTCAATTTTTAGATTTTCCAGCTTTCAATTTTTTGATGAATCTGAATATTGAAAAATCCTAAAACTGAAATATTGAAATGTTAAAAAGTCGAGAAATCGAAGGCGAAAAATCTAAAAATCGATTAATCAAGAAATCGAAAAATAGAGAATTTAAAAGCGCCAAATCGAAATTAATTTTCCCATTTCTCGATTATCTATTTTTCAGTTTTTTACAATTATATTTTCAATTTTGTCAATATTTCGACTCTTTCATTCTTTATATTTTCAATTTTTCATTTTTTTTATTTTTTTTAAATTCCGGATTTTTGATTTTGCAATTCTTCAATGTTCTGATGTTTCGGTTTATGGATTTTTCCATTTTTCAATTTTTAAAATTTTTGATTTCTCAATTTTTGGATGTTTCAGTTTTGGGATTTTTCAACTTTTCTTCGATTTTTCAGTTTTTCGATCTATCAATTTTTCGATATTTCAGTCTAGGGAATTTCCACTTTTTCGTTTCTTCAATTTTTAAATTTTTTGATTTTCCGATTTCTCGATTTCTTAATTTTTTGATGTTTCGTTTCAATTTTTCGATTTCGCGATTTTCCGATTTGTCAGTTTTTCAATTCTTCAATTATTGGGCTTTTCTACTTTTCGATTTCTCGATTTTTTCAATTTTTCGATATTTCGGTTTGGGGATTTCTTCAATTTATTCGATTTCTTGATTATTCGATTTTTCCGACTTTTAGATTTTTCTATTTTTGATTTTATCCATTTCTCGATTTTTCAATGTTTTGATTTTCCCATTTTTCGATTTCTCTGTTCTTGAGATTTTGCAATTGTTCAATTTTTCGATTTTCCAGCTTTTCAATTTTTTTATGAATATGTGTATTGAAAAATCCTAAAACTGAAATATTGAATTGTTGAGAGTCGAGAAATCGAAGGTGAAAAATCTAAAAATTGATTAATCAAAAAATCAAAAAATAGAAAATTTAGAAGCGCCAAAAATTGAAACATTAAGGGCCGGTTTATAGAACAGCGAGTTAAATATTTAGTCCTCGATTAGTTTAACAGAGAATTAAAATGTGGAATATGAGCCCCTGATTGGTTAAAATATGCGCGTTGCCTCGCAACGGACCTCAGTTAAAAGTTAATCGCGAATTAACTTTAACTTCGCTTTCTATAAATCGGGTTTAAGAAATCGAAAAATCGAAAAGCCGAAAATTAAAAAGAAACTGCGAATCGAAATTGATTTTCCTATTTCCCGATTCTCTGTTTTTCAGTTTTTTACAATTTCCTTGTCAATTTTATCAATATTTCTACTCTTCAGTTCTATATTTTTTCATTTCGATTTTTCGATTTTTACATTTTTCAACTGTTTTTTTCTTAATTTCGGATTTTTGATTTTGCAGTTTTTCAATGTTCTGATGTTTCGGTTTACGGATTTTCCAGTTTTTCCATTTTTCAATTTTGCGATATTTCATTGTTTTTGTATTTTGATTTCCCGATCTTTTGGTGTTTTTGATTTTTTTTATTTTTCAATTGTTAGATCTTCCCATAAATAATCTATAATTTAATTAAAAAATCGAAACAAAAAAGTGAGAGATTGAAGAATCGAAATATTATAAAATTCCAAAACTGAAATATCGAAAATTTTGAAAATCTAGAAACATTCCAAAACCCTATAAATCGAAAAACTGAATTCTAAAAACTGAAAAATAGAGAAAACAAAATCGAAAAATCGACAAACGGGGCCCAAAAAATCAAAAAATCGATCATTTGAGATATCTAAATCGAAAATTTTGAAATGCCACAAATAAAAAAATAGAAAAATCGAAGAATCGGAAAATCGAGGAATCGAAAAATTGTCAAGTTGACAAATCGAAGAACAAGAAATTTGAAAAATTGAAAAATCAAAAACCTGAAGAATTGAAGAATTAAAAAATAGAAAAAAAAATAGAAAAATGTGAAAAATGAAAAAATCTAAAAGATGAAAAATTGAAAATGTATAAAACCGAAAACTCGAATCGAAAAATAAAAAAACTGAAGAATAGAAATATTGATTTTTCAATTTTTCGATATTTCAGTTTGGAGATTTCTTCAATTTTTCGATGTTTCGTTTCGTTTTTTCGGTTTTTATTTTTTCAATTTTTTAATTTTTCGAAATTTTAAATTTTAGATTTTTCGTTTTTTTTTATTGATTTGGCGATTTTTCTATTTTTCATATTTTTTGATAACTTGCTTTATCGTTTCTAAATTTTCAGTTTCTCGATTTTTTGATTTTTCGATTTTTTTTTCCATTTCTCGATTTTTCAATTTTTTGATTTTCCCATTTTTTTATTTTTCGGCTTCTCGATTTCTCTATTCTTGAGATTTTGCAATTGACCAATTTTTTGATGTTTCAGCTTTTCGAGTTTTTTTAATTTTGGATTTTTTAATTTTGCAGTTTTTCAATTTTTTGATGTTTCAATTTATGGATTTTTCAATTTTTCCATTTTTCAATTTTTCGGTTCTTCAAATTTCCGATTTCTCGATTTCTTCATTTTTCGATTGGTCAATTTTCCCATATTTCAGTTTTGGGATTTTTCCATTTTTAGGTTCTCCAAATTTTTCGTTGTTTCGTTTCAATTTTTCGACTTTTAGATTTTGCGATTTTTCAATTTTTCGATATTTCGGTTTGGAGATTTCTTCAATTTTTTTGTTTCGTTTCGTTTTTTCGGTTTTTACTTTTTCAATTTTTTAATTTTTCGATATTTTAAATTTTAGATTTTTGGATTTTTTGATTTTTCAGGTATTTGATTTTTCCATTTTGTTAATTTTCGTTTTTTTATTGATTTGGCGATTTTTCTATTTTTCAATTTTTTTGATAACTTGTTTTATCGTTTCTAAATTTTCAGTTTCTCGATTTCTTGATTTTTAGATTTTTATTTTTTTCATTTCTCGATTTTTCAGTTTTTTTCATTTTCCCATTAATTCATTTTTCTACTTCTCGATTTCTCTATTCTTGAGATTTTGCAATTGTTCAATTTTTTGATTTTTCAGTTTTTCGATTTTTTTAAATTTTGGGTTTTTTGATTTTGCAGTTTTTCAATTTTTTGATGTTTTAATTTATGGATATTTTTTTCAATTTTTCAATTTTTCGGTTCTTCAAATTTTAGATTTTTCGACTTCTCGATTTTTCAATTCCTTAATTTTTTCGAATGATTTGTATTTTTAGATTTTTCAATGTTTTTATATTTTGATTTCCTGATATTTTGGTATTAGATTTTTCGGTTTTTATTTTTTTTTTTTCGATTTTTCGATTTTTTCATAAATAATCTATAATTTAAAAAATCGAAACAAAAAAGGGAGATTGAAGAATCGACATATTGAAAGATTCCAAAACTGAAATATCTAAAATTTTCAAAACCCTATAAATCGAAAAACTGAATTATAAAAACTGAAAAATAGAGAAAACAAGATCGAAAAATCTAGAAATGAGAGTCAAAAAATCGAAAAATCGATTAATTGAGGTACCTAAAAATCGGAAATTTAGAAACCACAAATTAAAAAATAGAAAAATCGAAAAATCGAGGAATCGAAAAATTGTCAAGTTGAGAAATCGAAAAACCGAAAATATGAAAAATTGAAAAATCAAAAACCTGAGAAATCGAAAAATTGAAGAATTGAAAAACAGAAAAATTTAAAAAATCTAACATTCCAAACCCCGATAAATCGAGAAATGGGAAAAACAAAAAATTGAAAAATTGAAAAAATATAAAACCGAAAAACTACTCGATTTTTCGATTTTCTATTTTTCAGTTTTTTTGCAATTCTTTGTTTAATTTTTTAAATTTTCGACTTTCAGGTTCTCCGAGTTTTCAGTTTTTGGAATTTTTCAATATATATTTCAATTCTTCAGTTCTGCATTTTTTC